TTGTTTGTATTGTTTTTTCAAGGAACTTTAGAGTTTTACGATTTTGATGTCTTTGTCTAATACTTTAGAGCAGAATTAATTTTTAGACTGCATGGTTTGTTTGAAGAAAATATAAACTATAAAGCATTTGCGATTTGCAATAGTATAGATGATGTGACAGTTACTGTATTAAATTAAATTGTATATAGTTGTTGGGTTTTTGGGGTTGTTAATTTATTTTTGCTGTGATTATAAATCTGTAAGGTTTTGTACTATTTTGGTGTACTAAAAATAGTAACAATTCTATTTACTAATTGGTGATGTTTATTGTTGAGGCCGTGCTGAGGCCAGAAATGGTGGTTGGACCTTGGTGAAATGAAGAATGGTGACTGATAAAAATGTATTTTTATTTAATAATTTATTCAATATATATATATATATATATATATATATATATATATACCTATATAAATATTTTTTAAATGAATATTATAAATAGGCTATATTATAAATCTTAATAAATCATTAAATGAAAAAAAAAAAAATTATCAGTCACTCCCTGTATGTAATGTAGCATAGTTGATACAAACGGCTATTTGAAACGTCCAAATGATTTGCCTTTAAAGGTGCTAATGTAACTTTTCTTCTAAAATTAATCCTCTTTTTTTATTGCCTGTGTGTGAAGGGGTTATAATCACACATTACAATGATCCACTTGTCGGGTTTTGCTATTACCTCCGAAGGCCAGTTTTCCTATTTCTATGTGAAGTCTCCGGGTCGGATTTTCTGCGAAATCCATCGGATGTGATGTGTATGCGCGCTCCCGAGCCTCTCTCCTTTTTATATACAGTATGCCCTGTCCCAATATCCGCACTTGCGCCCTTGTGCCCCTCAATGCGCGTTCTCGCTAAGGGGTGTAAGACCGTAGGGTGTCCCAATCCTCTAATAGTGTTCTCCAGAGGTGATCATAAGGGCACTTAATGCACCCTTTTCGCAAGTGCGCATCAGACCTCACTTTGCTATGGGATATTACCCAGAATCCTTGTAGTGTTGTGACGTTTCGAACAGCTAACGAATGGGGGAGAACGGTTGCTAGCCTATGGTGCTGTTCGGGAGCGGAAACTCCGAAGATAAAGGAAGCCGGTGTGGTAAAGTGTTTTTCAAGGCCGCGAAATTTAAAAATATAAGTGTTATTGAGTCACGAAATGTAGTTTTAAGAGTTTTTCAGTCGAGAATATAGTTGTTTAAAGCTCAAATCTGTGGTTTATTTATAAAGATAGCGCCTATTTAAAAGAATTTTCTGACGTTTTCGGAGTTCCAGGTGATCACCGGGCGCTCAACGCTCATGTACCCCGCCTGGAACAGCCTTACCTCGGCTATTCTGACGTTTCCCGCGGGCTCTGTGTCTAGTGGTTAAACATGAGCTATAAATCGGCTTGTGTATATCTAACTGGCGATCTTTGGTCTCATTAATCTATGATTTGTTCCCTGGCAAATCATTTTGGCTGAGGGGAATAATGAAGTTTCATAACTTTATATATTTAGGCTATTTAACTGTAACGTAACGTTAGCTTGTTGACTTATGTTTGACTGAATCTTTTAACTTGCTTTTTTTCTTGACTTATATAGCTTCTTATACTTTTTAGGCTACTTATACTTTAATAATGGCTATCATTGATCAATAAAACTGAAATTTAACAAAAAGAGACAGGGTTGTGTCATTTTATTTCATATAGCCTATGTAAGACTATTTTAATATATAGCCTATATATAATATATCACCAACACGTCATGTATTTTTTCATGTATGGGATGGGGAGAATTTCATATATCAATTTCCATAATAACATAATTAAAATTGCATTTCGAATCGCTGTGAAAACGGTAAGGCAGTATAAGCTCAGGTAAACCCCAATCACAATTTATCTTAGCCAAAAACTGTTTTAATATTAATAACATTAACAGAAAGGTTGGTAGCTAAGAGTAAAAAAAGATATTCATTTTTTCATTCAAAGGATTGGAACATGTCATTTGCGTGTTAACGCATAAAATATTGGACATTAGCCACCACCTACTGGTAATTACATGCTGGCACATTGGAAACCATGGAGTGGTTTTTCCTTGCACAAGCACAAAGAACAAACAATTCCTGTAAATTGCGCGATTTAATCTAAAATAAAATTGGAACAATGTCTTTAAAAACTGACAATGAGCATAAATAAATAGCATACACAATTATTTTATTATTATTTTTTAGATTTTTTAGAATATAGTAATAAAGGGTTTCCTGAATAAAGGAATTATGCTTAGGGCACCAAAATGGCTAGCAGCGGCTCTGGTTACACCCCGTGCAGCACTTTTTGCATTCCTTGTATGAAATTACATGTTTATCATAAAGTTTTTCAATTAAGGGCTTTGTCATATAAGTTTTACCCCTCTACCCCAAAGAATTACAAAGCACAAACATGCAGCAAATATTTACTTTTGTATATACTGCAATTTCTTAACTTAATTGATCACGCCAATAATTTACATCTGCTATAGAGAACTTTGTCTACATCACAAAACGTATCATGCATTATGAAGGGGAAAATCATTATGAATGTTGAATATATACCATATCTTCTCAACATCTCCACAGGCCTCTTCCATTATTGGTGGTGTTGTTGTTTAACAATGTCATGCTCTTATTCCGTTGAAAACAAACTTGGTCATCCACCACAACCTTTTTGAACTTCAATTCTGAAAGATGTTTGGAAATGTATAGAACTTGCCACTTAAACACTAGGGGCCCTATCTTGCACTCGGCGCAAATGACTTTGTACACTGACGCATGTATCATTCCTATTTTGCACCCGCGCAAAGCGGGCTTTTCCCTCCACAGACACACGTCGGTTAACTAAGAAATACACTTGCGCTCCCCGGGGCGGTTCAGCGCAAAGAGGAGGCGTGTTCCGGCGCAAACTTTCCCTCATGCTATTTTGCTGTTCTATAAAACAATTGCGCCACTGACCAGTAAAAAACTAGTCTAAAGTCAGTGGCGCGTTGCGCGTTGTTCATTATGCTATTTTAAGGGCGCATACTTGGCCATAATCAATGTAGCGTGTGCACAACGCGCATACACTTTGATTCTCTCATCTAAGCAGCAGTTTTCATTTTTGCAAATCATACATTATTACGATAGATAGATAGATAGATAGATAGATAGATAGATAGATAGATAGATAGATAGATAGATAGATAGATAGATAGATAGATAGACAATTTATTATAAAAGCATACATGTAGCTTACACATTCACCCAAATTATCATACGCCTGTTTAACAGAAGTTAATTTGGGTGGGTTTCTCCATCCCCAATGTCACTTCTCTGTGTTTTACGGCCCTGACGAGAACGTTGCTCTCCTCGGCTGTGAACTGCTCCTGGCGCGCGCCTGGCAAATCCGCCGTTATAATAGGAATCCGCTTTAGAACAAGCGTGCCTGCTCTTAAAGGGAATGTGAGATGACGCTCTGATTGGTTTATTTCACGTTACGCCCAAACCACACCTATGAATAATGAAGCTACTTTAGACCAACCCCTTTTAGATTTGCGCCAGGCGCAAGAGGCATTTATCCCGCCGGGAAAATAGCAACAGCGCCGGGATCCGCCCACAAAGTTACTTGCGCTTTGCGCTTTGACACTTGCGTTTCAGATCGTTAAAATAGGGCCCTAGAACTACCGGAATTCTTTAATGAGCGGTCATTCTGACTTTGACCAGCGGATGTCGCTAGCGTGGCACTCCCTTCTGCTCCGCTGCTTTGCGCATGCATAGAAGTGCGAGAAAATAATTCATTATTACGAGAAAGTTTCTCATTATTATGAGATGTTAAGTCATTATTACGAGATGTTAAGTCATTATTATGAGAACATTTCTTATTATTATGAGATACTTAAGTCATAATTACGAGAAAGTTTCTCATTATAATGAGATACTAAGGCCGTGTGTCCACCAAAGCGTTTTTAGCCGGCTAAAAACGCTAGACGCTCTGCTGAAAACGCCCAGCTGTGGGCGCTTGAGAGCGTTTTGGCAGCGAAGCGTTTTTTCCGTTGAGACGCTTCGTTGCTATGATACAGAATATCTGCGGCACAGTTACTTGTAACATTACCTTGTTAATTTGTAACTGATTTCTCAGATAATTTGGTTTATATAAAAAATGTCGACACAATGTAGAGTACTTGCTCTGGCCATTGCTTTGGAAGAAGGGATGGCTGAGCCACGTATAGGACGAACACGCCGGTCTATGTGGGTTCATGAGATTTTGAGAGCGAGAAAACATCTCGGCGAGTACCATCGTTTGGTCCAAGAACTAAAGTTGGACGGAGGCCGGTTCAAGGAGTATTTTCGGATGAGCAGGACACAGTTTGAAATGTTGTTCCGGAAAATTGGACCGTCTATTTCAAAGAGAGACACAAACTACCGGGAGTCCATCAGCTCGGAAGAACGTCTCTGCATGTGTCTGAGGTATAGTGCATAACGTTAGGTGAAAGTATGCTATTCCGAAAATTATTTAAGTGATATTTTGTGTTATTAAGCTGAAAATGAAAATTTATAAGTAAATTTAGTGAAGTAAAAAAATAAATCAGTATTTGTCTCTTTAATATAGTGGATAAGAGAAATAAGTTAGTAGAAAAAAAAAAAAGTTCAAATAAAGTAAAGTTACAAGTGCATCAAAATTGTACTCTAGTAGGCTACATGTAGTTACATTCTTCACTGCACATGAGGTATGACAGCGCTTATTTTACTTTTTTTTTTAAACCTTATAGGTATTTATGATTCAGTGATACTGAAGATATTTTACCCATCTAAACACCTTTATAATGTAATATACTTTTATATAATTAAAGCATAATATAAATAGGCTAGATGTCTTATTTCATTTATAATAATGAAAGTATGATTTAAATAGATGTTTTATTTATTTTATGTAACTTATAATTAATGTCCCTTTGCAACTTTTTTCTGTATTTATTTCAGGTATCTGTCAACTGGAGACTCATTCAGGTCAATAGCTTTTAGCTACAGGGTGGGTTACTGCACAGTGGCAAGGGTTGTAAAAGAAGTGTGTGAGGCAATATGGTCTCTCATGGTCCAGGACTACATGCCCTTCCCTGAGCAACAGCACTGGAAGAGGATCGCGGAGGACTTCCATAGGCTTTGGAACTTCCCCAACTGTCTGGGAGCAATTGATGGGAAGCATGTAACAATACAGGCCCCAACTTCAACAGGGTCAATGTATTTTAACTACAAAGGTAGCTTCTCCATCGTCCTCCTGGCAGTGGTTGATGCCCGGTACCTTTTTCGGATGGTGGATGTGGGGGCATACGGAAAAAGCAGTGACGGTGGGACCCTCTGTGCCTCCGACTTTGGCAAGGCCCTCCACCAGGGAACCCTCGACCTGCCAGAGGATGCACGTTTGCCAGGAGCAGTAGACCTCCAGCCTGTGCCACATGTGTTTGTGGGTGACGAGGCTTTTCCTTTGAAGAGGCACCTTCTCCGACCCTACCCAGGAAAACATCTCGACAGAGAGAAGCGTGTGTTTATTTACCGTCTTTCCCGTGCAAGGCGGCTGGTGGAGTGCACATTTGGGATACTTGCTGCCCAATGGAGACTCTACCACAGAGTGCTTGGTGTCTCACCAAAAGTGGCAGATGCAGTGGTGAAGGCCACTTGCATCCTTCACAATTTCCTACGCTATGAGGATGCTAATGAAGAGGAAGGAAGTTGTGCCCCCCTGCCATCAGAGCCACAGTTTGCCATGCAGCCCATCCAGCAAGCAGGCAGCAACAATGCCTCTAGGGAAGCACTGGAAATAAGGCAAAGGTACACCAACTACTTTTCCTCTCCAGCAGGTGAAGTTGCATGGCAGCATTCTGTCATCTAATCCCTCATAATTACTCCCATCACCATCAGGACCACTAACATCAGTACCATTCAGGACCACCACCAATTTAAAATAAAATAAAAAGGCTCTTTTAAGAGCCACCCATAACCTTAGAAAATGAGCATATTTCCTTTCCCTAACAAGCTACACATTACGAATAAAATAAAATAGTAGTATAAATCAAAAGAGGAAAATAAATGACTGGAAAAGATGAATGCTTTTAATAATTATTTTAATGATCACTTTTCATGTACAGATTCATAAATACATCAAACTGCAAATTAAAAAATAAAATTATTGATTGTTACATGTAGTAATTTGGTGAGTCTATTAGGTCATGTTTGTGTGCGTGTCTTGTCTGTATGTTTGTTTATGTGTGCATGATAGTGTTTTATTGATTGTTAAATTCTGCTTCATGTAATATTTGTTGAAATTTGATTTTAACTTCAGATCGACTGCGTGGAGGAAGGCGTCTCAAAGCAGCAACTAAACTTAAAAGAAAATGCTCTTCCTCATCTGGTTTGTTACTGATGGCGTTCAGCACACAGCGCTGATAGTCAGTTATATCTTGCTCAGCCCTTCTCTTTGGAGCAAAAGTACGGCGAGAAATTTCAGGTGTGCAGAGTGGTGGCACATTAGGGGAGTCAGGAGATCCGGGCTGTGTGGTATTGGCCTGGGTTTGGGTCAGGGACTGTGTGCTCTCATCTGATGTCTGTGGGGGACAAATCAGAAAATGTATTTTTTTTTAAAGTATAATATATATATATATATATACACAGATAAAGTGTATAGCCTACTACTAATAATAAAAGTAATTCCTTCCTTTGACATAAATAATAATTCCTTCCTTTAAAAGAAATAATAACCGCCTTTCATTTAACATGTCAATCCTACAATTCGTTATACAGATATAGCAGCACTTATTACACAATTAAAACAGATGTAGCAGCACATAACATTGAGGTTCACGTATGCTACACTACCTCCACTGGTGTTACCATAGACTCAAGGAGAGCCACTACACTGATATCCTCATCACAAGATGTATTCAAATTGCTAGAGGTGTCCCTGTTTGTGATGTATGGCTCCAGGAAGTTGAGGATGGACATGTATTTCCACCTCCGATTGCCTCCTGCTGTCCCTGAACCTGACTTCTTTCTCTCTTTCTCTTCATTTTTCTCTCTTTTGAAAGTGTCCCTCAGGTATTTCCACTTTTTACGACATTGTTCAACTGAAATTCGTATTAACAAAAAGATTAGAGATTTTGTGAAACTTAAAACAAATAGAATATTCCGATTACCGGGCGTTATTTATAGTATCTAAAAAAAATTAGCTTTGACGGTTTGCAAGCTAACGTTACGCTAACGTAGATCCCGGCCCCCACCGATCAGCTGTCTGACTGCTTACCTGATAGACCGATCGCCGATGAAATGTTCCTCCAAGCATTGTTTTTTAAATTCACATTGTGGTAATCCGGGGATGTCATCTGGTATAAACACGTATGTTCAGAGACCAGCAATATTAATTTTTCATCCATTTTTTTTCAGCTCTGCTGGTTGATGTCCTCCTTGTACACAAAGAATATTGAATGACAGTTGGTCGGTGTGATATTAGTCCCGCCCCTCCTCCACTGTGATTGGACGGTTGGTGAAAAGTGACAGTGATGAGCGCTGCGTTTTATCCAAAAGTTGAACATTTTTCAACTCTCGGCGACCAGTAAAAACGCCGGGCGCTCAGCGCTTCAGCGTGTAAAAAACGCCGAACGCTCAGCGCTTGAGCGTTAAATACACGCTCAGCGCCTCGTTGCGCTCATGGCGTTTAAAAAACGCGGCGCTCCCATTGAAAACAATTGAAAACGTACGCCAGGCGCGAGTAAAAACGCTTTGGTGGACACACGGCCTAAGTCATTATTATGAGAAACTTCCTCAATATAATGAGAAACTAAGTCATAATAATGAGAAAGTTTCTCATTATTATGACTTACAGAATTATATTTTTTTACTCTGTGGCGGAAATGGGCTTCCATATGTTTCAAAAGTTATCCCATCAGTAGGCTATAGATTTCCACGAATGTTGGGGATCGCCCCACTGAATGCCGGTTCTTTAATGTTCGTAACCACTTCAGTACTCTGATCAGGGAGTAGGAGTCATCATATCTTTTCCACCTTTTATTTATGTGCAGGGTTTTACCATATACACATATGAAATTGGAGGTAGTTTCTTCATGCTGTGGAAATATAAACCGAAGTAAATAACTAAATGTTAAACATACATGCCCACATACTGTTGTGATAAACAGGACATTACCAATTAAACAATTTTAACAGCTCTCTCAAAGTGTGTTTAGCAGCAGGGGCGTGTAACGAGTGGAAATGTGGTGTGACCCCTTTAAGAATCTGTGATGAGGGGAAATAGGGTGTGGCCCCTTTAAGAGCTGCGCGCTCCTGTTGAAGAGTCGACACTTTGGTATTGTTGTGCCATCATGTGCCTCGAACACCCCGTGTGTGTGTAATCTCTGATGCCTACTTTTATATTATTTTATTTTGTTAAGTAACGATGTGAGAGGGAAAACGTGTGTGACAGCCAGTTATGCTGCACGAGTTCGATTTGGAATAAAGCACGTGAGAGAGATGCAGATCGCTTCCGTGAGTTTGTCTGGCCTCCGCACGAAATATCTTTAGTTATGAGCTATCCTTCTTCCCGAAGCAAAGTGTTACAAGTGGCGCCCGAACATTTTCTCTCTGGCCTTGGATTTAATGCGAGGACACGGACGACGAACCGGATTGTGACGGACGACTCCGAAAATGCTGTGAACATCCAGCTAGTCATATGTGAGTTTACACGAGGAAAATTTCACTGCGTATGCGTGTGAGGCCCGAGTCGCTCTACGAAGCTGGGGCGGACATTTTGTGTTGCTGACGCAGAGGATATTTCTTCACATTCCACTGGATTTAAGTCGTCCTGGACGCAATCTTTGTGAATTTGTACTGTGCACGTTGGATTGTGTTTCGTTGAGGAGGTAACATTAATCTGAAATTCAACTGTTGGTGTACTTTGACTGTTTCAGTGATTCAGGCCTGGTTTCTACGTTCATTTGTGGCCATTTGCTGGAACTAAATGGTGAACTGGTTGAATGGAACGTGGAAATTTCTTCGTTTATTTGAAAAAAGAGACATTTTTGCACTGGATTTTTCTTGGACTTCTGTACTTCTGTGATTTGTGGGTGATAACTCCTCAACGCCCACACTGTGATTGCTCATCGGAAAAAGAAAATATTAATGGACTCTGTGTTTGAGGTCTGGTGATATTGAACTTGTCAAAAAAAAAAAAAAAAAAAAAAAAAGTACAAGTGACTATATATAATACTGTTATATGGTTAAATTTTTTTCAAAGAGTATCCAATTGTTTATTCCATTTGTCTTGCTTAGTTACTCACAATACAGTAAGTTAATGCAAGTTGGAATTATTGGTTGCATTATATTGCTCTAATTCATTGTTTTGAATATCATATTGACAAACTGATTTTGGTATGATGGCCAGACGTGTTGATGACGAGACTGATTTATTTGACCAATCTGCATGCTTTGAGTTTCCGGCCAGACGGAGAGCGCCAGTGGCAGTGCCTGGGTCAGGGGAGCGCCTGGAGACACAAGTTGAGTCGTTGAAGGAGGAAGTGGAAATGCTGCGGAGGTGCCTGAGTGAGTCTCTGGATCTTCAAAGAGGTATTATTGACCGTTGCACAGAAAACTTGCATGTACCTGCTTCTTACCAAGTGCCTTCACAAGTCAGGCCTGTTGCTTCGTCTACTCCATATGCTCAAGCACCAGCTGGTCGCATACAGGGGCCTCAGTCCTGTGAAGTAGAAATGAATGTCAGAACCGAAAATGAGTTTGGCCTGGCTCAAAGCTCTTACGATTTGAATAATGCCACCAGAACTTTGGCCTCCGTCTTACACCAATCGAGACTGGAGCCCCCAGTGTTTGGAAATGATGAGAAAATTCAACCTGATGACTGGCTTATTCTTGTGGATGCCTATAGAACTTCTTTGGCTCTCAGCGATGCTCAAATTTTGCTTGAATTACCGCGGTTCTTGGCTAAAGAGCCCAGGAAGTGGTTTGCAATTCTGAGTTCACATGTCACTTCTTGGACACAGTTCTGCACCCTGTTCAAGACTGTGTTTCTTCCAGCAGATATCCAAGAGCGTGTCTGGAGAGGTATTCTTGACCGTGTACAAGCTCCGGGAGAACCATTTCCAACGTTTGTAGCACACATGCTATCTGAATTCAAGAAACTAAAGTCTCCACCACCAGAACAAGAGCAGATTGATCTCATCTGCAAGCATGCACTTGAGCGCTACAGAGTTGCACTGTACGGCGCACAAATTACTTCAGTCATAGACCTTGTGATGTGTGCCCATGAGCTGCACTCCGCTCTTGGCCCTGCCGGCCGTAATGTACCAGTATTGCAGAAGAGCACAAATAAGCAAGAGCCTTATTGTTTCAGATGTTCTGCTCCTGGTTTCACTTCAAGAAACTGTCCGCACTGTAACTTTACACAACAGACTTTGTCTTTTCCAGCCACTGCTAAACAGACAAGTCCAGGCTCGAATGAGCCACAGAACGCTGAGGAGGATACTCAAGCTAGGACATACAACGACAGGGAGGAGCAAAAGCACAATTCTGTTCGGCAGAAGGTAAACTTCAAAGGGGGGAGGACGTTTCACCGAGGCAATCCTCCCTCCAGAAGATAAATGCGCCTCACCCTTGTCTTATGTCCCCACCTGAGCCGCTTGTCCTAGGTCATGTGGAGGACCGTACTTCTCCTTCATTTTGGAATACACCGTTTATGATCAAGGTCAATTTCTGTCATAAAGCCATCGACGCAGCACTGGACACTGGTGCCTCACTGTCAGCTGTTCGTACAAATATGATTTCTGATGACTTGCGACATTCTCTGAAGGTTCAGCCTTGGACTTTTCCCCCGATTCAGCTCGCCAACGGTGCTGCTTGCACTCCGACTGGTGTTGTGTGGTTGAACATTGGCCTCCAAGGGAAAAAGTTCTACCATCGGTTTGTCATTATCCCTGATCTATCCTCTCCAATTATCTTAGGGATGGATTTTATGCTGCGAGCATCAGTCAGCATTCACATCCCATCAAGGACGGTGACCCTGGGGGAATCTACACCCCAAGAGGTTTTGGGTGAGTGGTTGGATGAACCTGAGCCTGGGAGCTTAATGTTCTTAAATGTCTGCCAGTCTGCCTTGGATGAGAAAGTTGAGAGAGCTTGTCTGAAAAGGGAAGAAAAAGGGAAACTGTTGAACCTTCTTAAAGACTTTTGGAGCCTGTTTGATGGACACTTGGGGCACACTTCATTGGGGGAGCATGAAATCAACACGGGTGAAGCAAAACCAGTTCACCTCCCGCCGTACCGGAGCTCACCAGCTAAAAAGCAAATCATTGAAG